CCACCAAACTAGTGACCGACCGTCTGAACTGAGCGATATGAAAGGCAGTTCTAGTAATCCCAACTTGCCCTCTATCCAACACTCATATGAATAATTCAAACATTTCCTAATTTTCGGTGACTTATATATCATGCCGTTATTGTCTATCAAGGTTCTGTCCCGAATCTACAGACTCATGTGACTCCCTCAGAGCGAAGTCACCAATGCACTACGGAAGCACTACCGTCGGTAGAAGACGGTACTCTCAAGTTCAGTTGAAATCTACAAATCCTGTGCCGACACACTGGCCCCTGAAGTGATGAGTCAATCATGATGAGAAAGGTCCATTCCTGGTAATCAGGGTTAAGCGTCCTTCTATTCTTCAACAACGAAGAAATCACAAAATGGGGGAACTACCGCGGCGCAGGCGATGCCAAACTTGCTCCAAAGGTTTTCGTCACTGTTGTTCGGACAATTATGGAGTGCACGACTTAAGAGCGAGACACGACTAAGTCAATGGGGCAAGCTGGACTCGAATGCATTGACCGGGCTTTCACAATGTGGCACGCTTAAGTATTCGGCTATGTCTGCGGGCGGTTTCGTTCACTGGGTTCGTGTCTTTGGAGAGTCGTGTAACTAGGTGATATGTCTGTAGAAGGTCATCATTATAGTAACCTGTTACCTCTGCACCAATATGGGATGTCTGGTTCATAGTACTCTGTTCCAATCGTTCGGCATTTGATCTAGAGTTCAGGAAAGTCGTGTCGTGTCGATTATTGTGCTCAAGTATGCCATTGACTGGATTCCCAAAAGGGCATTTAACTGTGTGAAATGCACCCTAGAGGAAGCCAACCGATCCCAACTAAGCAGACAGCATCATATTGTTAGCCTTAAGATCTGGTGACCTACCGCGTGCTATCACGCGGGAATGAGACCTCGATTTTGGTCGCTTAATCTATACAGGCTGGAAAAACTAGTGTTTTAAAGCATTCATTTTGCTCAGGAGAGGGCGCCCACCGAGATAAATGGCTATCAAATTGAAGAAACAGATAGTTCAATAAAACTCGGTGTAACACTTCTGACTTAGTGAGGCTCGTAGAATTCTCACGAGCCTTGGAAATTGTCCGTAGACCCCAAGCGACATTGTCATTACCAAATAGACGCGCATACCGGGCATTTTTCCGGTCTGTCCAGTACGGTTGTGCAAGCCAAGTTACACGAGTGAACGAGCAAGTAGTTCAGCGGCATGACAACCGCCGCCTGACAACCATCCTCAGAGTAAAATAAACTGGTTCGGTTCCAAATAAGACAAGTCGAACTCGCTACGACATCGCAGCATTTCAGGCCATCCTAGAAAGACGGTTGAAGCGGTTTTAATGCATTTCTTGGTGTTTAGCATTACTTCGCTGGATTAGCCG